TAGAATAGAATAGAATAGGAATAGGAATAGGAATAGAGTAGAGTAGAGTAGAGTAGAGTAGAGTAGAATAGAATAGAATAGAATAGAATAGAATAGAATAGAACAGAATAAATAGAGTAGAATAAAAAAAATAGAATAGAATAGGAATAGGAATAGGAATAGGATAGAGAATATAGAGTAGAGTAGAGTAGAGTAGAGTAGAGTAGAGTAGAGTAGAGTAGAATAGAATAAATAGAATAGAATAGAATAGAATTAGAAATAGGAATAGGAATAGGAATAGGAATAGGAGTAGAGTAGAGTAGAGTAGAGTAGAGTAGAGTAAATAGAATAGAATAGAATAGAATAGAATAGGAGTAGAGTAGAGTAGAGTAGAGTAGAGTAGAATAGAATAGAATAGAATAGAATAGAATAGAATAGAGTAGAGTAGAGTAGAGTAGAGTAGAATAGAATAGAATAGAATAGAATAGGGAATAGGAATAGGAATAGGAGTAGAGAATATAGAGTAGAGTAAGTAGAGTAGTAGAGTAGAATAGAATAGGGAATAGGGAATAGGATAGAGTAGAGTATAGAGTAGAGTAGGTAAGTAGAGTAGAGTAGTAGAATAGAATAGAATAGAATAAATAGAATAGAATAGAATAGAAGAGTAGAGTAGAGTAGAGTAGAGTAGAGTAGAGTAGAGTAGAGTAGAATAGGGAATAGGGAATAGGAATAGGAGTAGAGAATATAGAGTAGAGTAGAGTAGAGTAGAATAGAATAGAATAGAATAGAATAGAATAGAATAGAATAGAATAGGAATAGGAATAGGAATAGGAATAGGAGTAGAGTAGAGTAGAGTAGAGTAGAGTAGAATAGAATAGAATAGAATAGAATAGAATAGAATAGAACAGAATAGAATAGAGTAGAATAAAATAGAATAGAATAGAATAGGGAATAGGGAATAGGAATAGGAGTAGAGAATATAGAGTAGAGTAGAGTAGAGTAGAGTAGAGTAGAGTAGAGTAGAGTAGAATAGAATAGAATAGAATAGAATAGAATAGAATAGAATAGAATAGGAATAGGAATAGGAATAGGAATAGGAATAGAGTGGAGTGGAGTGGAGTGGAATGGAATGGAATAGGAATAGGAATAGGAATAGGAATAGGAAGGGACCTTGCAGGTCTTCTAGTCCAGCCCCCTGCTCAAGCAGGATTCTACACCATTCCAGACAAGTGGCTGTCCAGTCTCTTCTTAAAAACCTCCAGTGATGGAGCACCCACAACTTCTGGTGGCAAGCTGTTCCACTGGTTAATTGTCCTCGCTGTTAGGAACTTTCTCCTTGATTTCTAGTTGCTTCTTTCCTTGATTAATTTCCATCCATTGTTTCTTGTCCTTGTCTTCTGGTACTTTGGAAAATAAATTGACCCCCTTTTCTTCTTCTTCTTTGCGGCAGCCCCTCAAATACCGGAAGACTGCCATCATGTCACCCCCCTAGTCCTTCTTTTCTTTAGACTGGCCATGCCCAATTTCGGCAGCCAAGCTCAACTCAACGCCTTCACCTGCTCTGGGCCACACATCCGTTTTTGCAGAATGGAACCAAAAAAGCGTTTGCGGAAATCAAACAAATATAAGATCACCACGCCTATTTCACAGGAACTGCATGTAGTCCCAAAAATTTACAAATAAATGAAAAAAAAAATCCCTTTTATGATGATTCCAGAGAGAAGCGTATGAATTCACTGGCCATTCCAGAGGATTATTTAAATGTTATGAGTATTATCTATCTTGTTGGTTTCGCAATATATAAACCATCAATGTAGCTTTAAGACTGCTGTATTGCATCATACTGTGTCCTGATTGGTTAGCTCTGTAGCCAATCTCCTTAACAGGGAGCTTGAAACATGGTTTGTTTCTCTTTGCTGTTCTTGCTCTCTGATATCTCTGTATGCTTCTGTTTGCAAATCCAGAAGAACTGTTTATTGTGAATGACTATGATGACTGGTAAGAAGACTTTGTTATTGGATTATCCCTGGACTGTCGTTTTGACTATCTCCTGCTTTATATGTGTATGACCTGGACTGTTTATTGGACTGTGCCTTACTATCTCCTGAAAGTAAACACAACTCAGTGTATCTGTGTGTTGACTGTGATTATTCGTACCTACTCTCAATCGCTTTCATGTGTACACCCTTGCTATTCAAGGGCTACTCTGCGAATTCCTTAACAGTTGTAACCATCCAGAATGATCTCTGTATGAGTTAGACGGCTCTATAAATTTACTGAATAAATACTAACAATACTTTCAGTGAGGAAGATGAAGAATAGGTGGGATACAGCAGTTACCTGAGGGTTCCAGACAGAGTGGATTAAAAAAAATATCAAAAAAATTGATTTTTTTTTATTTAAATCGGATTTTTAAAATCAAATTTATTTTAATAAAAGGCTTTTGGAGTAAATATCTATCTAAAGATAATTTTCTACTTAAGATACATTAATAATTTAGTTTAATTCACATATTATATAG